GGAAAGGGCCCTCTAGTAAGACCTTTGTTATTTGCCAGACTTTAATGACTGGCTTTATTTTTTTCTCCTTTCATTTAAAAAAATCTTTAATATTTTAATTTTTTGCATTTCTCCTGGCTTTTATGCCGATTGCCTTTTTATTTGTTAGGGTTTATATCCTAGTTGTTTTAAATAATATTTTTTAGGATTAAAATTTCTCTGGTCCCGGTCACACCAGTGGGATAAGCGGTGTTTTAGAGCCGCAACAAACTGAAGCGCTGCATCGGGATCAGACAGTTTCCCGAGGCGCCGTGCATATGCCATCCGCCGCGATCACATGCCAAGGGGGGAGTGAGGCCAAGAAGGGCGAGGCGGGTCAGCTGCAGCATTGGTGCGCATGCGCAGTTCGACAGTTCCTTGTATACCATGGGCTACTGGTGTGTTGGCGATCCCACACCCACCGGTGCTGCGCATTTTCCGGTAAGTACTGCTCTTGCAGTGGTATCTTTTAAATCCGCTTCTTCAGGCCGATGGTACGCGTTGGAGACGGGCGCGCCACGCTTGCCAGATGTTGGCGTCTGATTGTGCCCGTTTGATCCGCCCTCCATCCGTCCCTCTCGTGGGGCAAATCCTCCGTGTGACCGGGACCTCTGTGTTGCTTTGTGTCACTGTTTTAATAAAGAGGTGGTACAAAATGCTATAAAAATATGAAGTCATGCTAAAATATGCTGTATATCAGATTCCAGGTGGGTGGCCATGTTACAGTGTAATCCTATGCATATTTACTCAAAAGTCAATCCCATTTATTCAGTGGGGCTGTCTTCCAAGGAAGTGTTCTTAGGATGTAGTTCAATCAGCCACCTTATGCCACATCCAAGACTTAACACATTTTATACTAAGATAAGCTTTGATGGACTAGAGTTCACTTCATCAAGTACTTCAACAGTTGAAGCTAATAGCAGGCTCAAGTCCATGAAAGTTTGAGAGCCAGTCTGGTGTAGTGGTTAAGTGCGCAGACTCTAATCTGGGAGAACCGGGTTTGATTCCCCACTCCTCCTCCACTCGCAGCTGCTGGATGACCTTGGGCAAGCCATAGTTCTGTCAGAGCTGTCCTTGAAAGGGCAGTTTCTGTCAGAGCTCTCTCAGCCCCACCTACCTCACAGGACGTCTGTTGTGGGGAGGGGAAGGGAAAGGAGTTTGTAAGCGGCTCTGAGACTCCAAGTGAAGGGTGGGGTATAAACAGTCTCCTCCTCCTCCTCCTGTGGTGGAAAGTGCCCTCAAGGTACAGCCGACTTATGGCAACCCCCTTATGGGGTTTTCGGGGCAAGACATGGCCAGAGGCAGTTTGCCATTGCCTGCCTCTGCAGGCAACCCTGGACTTCCTTGGTGGCCCACTGGCCCTGCTTAGCTTTTGAAATCTGACCAGATCGGGCTAGCCGGTGCTTAAAGGTAATATAATACTGACAAGCAGGCATATTGTGTGATGCGTTAAAGACTAACGGCCAGACTCCTGCTTGTTTTTCTATGATATTACATTTAAACAAGCAGGGAGCAACAATTTTAAACAAAGTGCTACATATCAAACTGCGATCAGCGTGCAGAGATTATGCTTTACACGGCACAAACCAAGAAGAGGGGGAGAGGGAGGGGGGAGAGAGTTAACCACCACCCCCCCCAGTTTCAGAAGGGCTATTACCTTATGCTCGAGGGTTAGCTGAATGACCCTCATTGGCCACTCACCTACTTACTTTTCTATGTAATAGAACACCTTTGATCTCTACTCAGGTTTGTAGCTCTTAAAAAAAGAAAGAAAGCCAAATGCAGCTGACAATTCAAAACAACACGGGAGAGGCAATCTCTCTGATGCTATTATTAACTCCCTTCCTTGGCTGTAAACCTCAAAGATTAGATAGTGGCTCTAAACATCCAGCCTTTTCTCCAACTGGCACACTTCTAGGTTTTAACTTTCCAGTTGCTTCGTAAAGCAACAAATTCGGTCTTTTTTGTACCTTCCCCATTTCCAGCTTCCTCTGGGTGATAAAGGAAACACATAAGGCTTGATAACCCTTATGATTTATATAAATAAACACTAATTTCCCGAGTCCAAGATGCAGGGCAGGTAATTATGTTTATTATTCTTGGAAGTAATAAACACATTCCACCCAGGCACCATTCCTCTAGGGCATTTGTATCCTCCTGCCCTTTCTCACCATCATTATCCTCACAACATGCCTGCGAGGCAGATGAGACTGAGAGAACATGACAGGCCCAAAGTCACCCGGTGAGTTCCGTGGCAAGAAGGGTGCTGGAAGAAAGGTCTCCCTGACCCCAGTCCAACACTCCAACAATTAGCCCTCTGCTGTCGCAGAGCCAAGGTCTAAGACGCCCTGTACATGACCAGAGGCACCCTTTTTCTTTATTTTCAAAACAACATATAACCTTGTTGCTATTACCATGTGTGGTGAACAAATTTTGGCTGAACCCTCCATCAGTAAGACGAATCAGG